GAGAGGGGGATCTACTCTGTTTAGACCTACGATCATTAAAGAGAGGGGATCTGCTTCTTCTTGGCTTTTCACGCTGTTTGGGGGATAAGCTTCTTCCTTTTGGGCTACGGCCAGGTCGTCTAGGGGACCTGTTTTCTTTCCCTGAAGAAGCATCTTTAGAAGGAGATTTAATTGGCTTTTTTTCTTTGTCAGTCTCTGATCTCCTAGGTTTTCTATCTTTGGACCGTGACCTTCTATCTTTGGATTTGCTTCTTAGTTCTGTTGGAGATTTAGATTTTCTGCCACGATCTCTGCTTTTGTTTTCATTAACAACTGGAGACTTTCTCCGATCTCTCGATTTACTTTTATCATCAGCCTTATTTCTATCTTCTGGAGGAGATTTAGACTTTCTGTTTTTCTCCTGAGATCGCCTCTTAAGCATTGGGGACCTCGATTTCCTTGTCTGATCTTGAGACTTACTTCTCTTATAAGGGCTTTTGGATTTCCTCCTTTCTTTTGACTTGCTTCTAGTTGTCTTCTCTTTGACTCCATCAACTCCTGTCTTGCTTTTCTTTTTGTCAGACCTGTGCCTAGTCCTTTCTTTTGACTCACTCTTACTTGCTTTCTTAGAACCAGTTTTATTGTCCACAGGTTCCAATTTCCCCTTAGTGTTTGACTTTGCTGTAGGTCTCGTTCCATTTCGTGCTTTTTCATTAATCTCCCCCTCTTCTTCAGATCCTGACTCATAACCTTGTAATATTAATCCCATCCCAGACTGGACTTTTCCTTCCATTAATTCATTTTCAAGTTCAGCTTTCAATAATGCTCTTTGTTTCTCCAAGTCTTCCAGAGGAGCTAAAAAATCAATTTTAGTTCTTTTAGCTGGTCCATCTTCTTTGTCAGAGGCATCAGCCACCTCTTTCCATTTATGTTTCTTATGTTTGTGTCTGTGTTTATGTTTTTTGTCCTTATCTTCTTCTGAAGAATGTTTATGTTTCTTGTGTTTACTTCGGTGTTTGTGTTTCTTTTTTTTGTGTCGGGTGTGCTTGTTCTGAGGTTGGTCTGCCTCTGATACTTCCCCATTTTCTTCATTTACACTTTTCTCAGATGCCTCAGCATCCTCAACCCTGCAAAAAAATAAGAAGATCAGTACTATCAACTTCCTGTAGTCTTTTATCTCCTGTTAAGTCAACAGCCTTTTTTATGACAAAAACTAACTGCCATTTAATCACCTACCTTTGGGAGAATTAAAAACATTCGACTAATTTAACTAAGTCATAACAGCAGATACAGTTCCTCATGAACAGACTACTGCTGCACAGCAAAATACTACGGAAGGAAGATACAGCAAATGCACTGACAAAACAAGATGTGTGGGTGGTATCAATGCTCACGCCTTTAGATTCAATGCTGACAGTGTCTGTTAATAACATACAACAGTGCTGCATATTTACCTATCCTGTCAGTCCACCATTATCTTTTTCACTTGCTGTTCCACTCCAATGCCTAACCCAAGCTATGCCTTTGAAAAGTATTTTCAAATGGCAGAAAACTGTTGCGCTCCAAAGATCAAAATTTATTTCAAGGGATGATGCTGACTAGGTAATGAAACCTTCTTGTAAAATCTCAGTCAGAGCTGACTGACTCCCTTAACCTAAACTTCTTTCTCTAAGTGTTAGAAAATCAAGAAGTCTTTTTATGCATTTGTATTATTTATGCAATGCAGGGAACACTATTGAGGAACAGCATAAATTAAGGAAGTTTAATTTAAGAGCAACTTTCTGACACTATACAGCAGATAGTAGCTTCGAAAAAATGTGGTTATCTTTATACCTGGAAAACGGCATTGGGTGAAACAGCTGAAAATAAGTCTCTAGCAGGTTATTAAAATAATAATAATATGCAGTGTTTCTTCTAAAAAGAATAGTTTCAATTAACAATAACTTCTTCAAGTAGAAACTTTAAAAATTATAAAGTTTAGACATGATGTTACACATTCCCTTATCTTCCACAGACAGTGAAACTGGCTTAACTATAGGTTTTTTACACTGTTTAGCAAATACCTCCTGATCTCCTTCAGAACATCAATCAAGTTACTGTCTGTAGTAAAACAGACATTTGCCTTTTGAAATCTGTTTCCAAATATTACAGGTGCCAGAGCTCACCTTTCTACAAACTAAGCTAATATTAGCTTACTAAGCAAACTACCTAATACTGTAATAACTTAAATGTTGCTCTTTCTGTATCCCAGGCCTCATTAGTTGAAAACAAATCCCTTAAACATGATAGTCAGAAGCAGAGAGTGAAGGTACAGAGAAATGTCAAAATTGTCTTCTGAACTCTACTAGTTTCATATGACAGTTGTTTCTGAAGATTATGATCAATGATCTGATAGAACAAATGTATCAGAGATACTCTAAGCCAGGTCTAAAGGACAGCACCTCACTATAAATTTGGTTAGTGTCTTCCTAATGAAGGACAGGATCTTCTAACGATGCACAGTTACTCTCTCCTGCTTGAGTTAATGCAAATTCTAGAACTAGTAATAACACAGACTTTTCTACAACATACACCAAAATTATTTGCTAAAACCATTAACACTTTAGTGTTCAGAAATGACAAACTTCCGAAAGGAATGTCTGAGTTAAAAACATGCAGTATTCAGAGACTTTAGTCAGAATGCTGCATGCCTTTTCTTTTAGACCTTTACCACTACTTTTGCTTATTCAAGGTACATAGAAAGGTTTTTTTCTTAATTGCTTCCTCCTGATACTTTACACCATTATGACAAGAGAATATCAGAACAAAAGAGGGAAACTGCCTTAAAAAGAACGTACTCTTAGTTGCATTTGGCACAAAAGAAAAAAAAAAGAGAAGGAAAAAGTATTAAATGCAGAACTTCTTCAACTTGGGTTTGCAGTCCTGAGCAAGTCTGTCTGTGGCATAAGCTGGTTAAAGGGCAGAAAAATGTCACAAGGAGAATTTTAAGGGAACTATGCATCTTTTAAGATTTCTTTTAGTTGGACACAGGATGCTGTAGAAGAGTCTTCCTTCTCCTAATAGCAGAAAGTGACACTGAAATCTTTAAAGGAATTTATTTTGTTATATCATATGTATTTTAAAGTTATGTAATAATCTCATCTTAAATTCTGGAAAAGCAAGCTGGTAGAGAAAGCACCAGATGAGATACAACACCCTAGCAATATCTCAGGCCATTACAGACTGCCAATACAACTGCCAGCTGTCTCTGTAATTCAACAATTACTATTAAGTTCATTAATATGCATTAAATAGTTCAGATTTTCTTCATGCACAGGAATATGTTCATTTCAAGTAATTCCATCAAAACGTGGATAAACTTTTACTTCATTTAAATGCTTCAGAGGTGTATTGACATGGATGAGAAACCTTTTAAGAAGATTTTAGAAGGTGATGAGCCAGTTTGGTATGTGCATGTTTAGGCACTAATGGCTTTAAATAGAGAGAAATTGTGACATGATCTTGTTATAGCCCTACTTTTTCCTACTTTGAATTCAGGAAGAAGAACAATAGGAAGTTTATAAGGATTTGCAAAGAGATTTCACCCATCTTTTCCTACATATAAGGTTCCTATCATCAGCTTCTATCTTATCACTTAGTTAACTTTCTCTATGCAATACTAGACACTCGTGTTTTACATAGTTCACACATACACCCACCCTATTTCCTCACCCGTTTTCCACTCCCACGATTAACAATAAAGTCAAGCCTCAAATCAAAACTTTTTAGGCAGAAAAAATACAGAAAACAGAAAGAATACAGAAAGCAGTTTAAACAGCTAAAATATTTATATAGTGAAGAGAAGCGACAGAGTAAGCATTAGGATGTTAACTCTGGGCAAAATTTCCAGAAGACTGTGTTCACTGCGTGTGGACAAACCCAAACCCCACGGCACTAACCAGGGTGCCAGGAGAACGCACGCCCGGGAGCCCCGGTCCGGCGGGGAGGCGGCAGCTCCATCTCCGCTTCCCAAAGGGAGCCGGGAGTTGCCAGTCATTTCGAAGGCTGGAAGGAGGGGCTGGCGGCAACAAATCGCTTTCTGCTTCCCGCAGCACAGGCACCTTCCCTACCGCGAGAGCGGCGGGGCCCGGAGCAAGGAGGGCGGGCGGGAGGTGGGCTCGCCGCAGGGCGGGCAGCGGCTCGGCGGCCCCGGGGCACCACCGAGGCACCCGCTGGCCCGCAGCGCCCCCAGCCCCGCTCGGACAGGGCGTGTGTGGGGGGTGTGTGTAAGTGGCGAGGGGGGGAAAGATCCCGGGCAGCGCCGGCCCGGACCCCCCTCAGGATGCCCAAGCCCTGCGCGCCGGGCGGCAGCGGCCTCGCAGCCACGCGGAGGAGGCACAGCCCCCCTCCTCCCCCCCGTCCCGCTGTCCCACGTCGCGGCAAACCCCGGTTCCCCGGCAGCGATGCCGCTTTCCCTGCGGCCGGAGCGCCCGCGGGGCGGGAAGGCGCACGCGGGACTCCCGAGGACACGCGCCCGCCGCTCCCGGCGCCGCTTCCCTTCCCCCTCCCTCCGTCCCCGCGCGGTCCTCCCGGATCCGCGGGCCAACGCAGTGGCCCCGGCCCCGCCGGGTCGCCTCGCCGCGAGCCCGACAGCTCCTACAGCAACCGCTCTGCCCCGGGGCGGCCGCCTTCCCCCGTCCTCCTCTCCTCACCCCCTCCTCTTCCTCCTCCCTCGCCACTTCCACCCGGGCCGCTTCTCGTCCTCCCCGTCCCGTGTGTGTGTGTGTGTCCCCGCTTCAATCCCCTCGCCCGCGCTTCTCCCTCCGCCTCGCTCCTCCCGAGGCGCCGCGGAGAGGAGCCTCCCCCCCCAGCCCCAGCGGGTCCCTTACTCGGGCGGTCGCTGCTCGGGCTCGGCCGCGGCGGCCATTTTGAACTTCCGAACTCCTTCGCTGCCGCCGCCGCCGCCGCTGGCAGGGGGGGTGGCGGCGCGGGGCCGGAAGTGAACCCCGCGCGCGGGGCCGCGAGCGCGGCGGAGGCTCCGCCTCCTCCCCCAGGGGCGTCGGGAGGGGGAGGCGGCGGGAATGGAGCGGGACGGGAGTGAGTGGAGGCGGCTGGGATGTCGCGGGGGGGAGAGGAGGCGGGGGCGCTTCGCTCTGAGGGTGGGGAGGCGCTGGAATAGGTTGCTCAGAGAAGCCGTGGATGCCCCATCCCTCTGAGTGTTCAAGTCTGGCTTGGCTGGAGCTCGGAGCAACCTGTTCCAGTGTCCCTGCCTGTGGCACGGGGGTTGGGACTGGGTGATCTTCAAGGTCCTTTCCAACTCAAACCAGTCTGTGGTTTCATGATCTTGGTTTCATGATCTTTGTTGTAAGGCGTTGCTCCACTTAATCTCTGCCTTTCCGTGCTGCTGGGAAAAGGCCGGTGGGCTTTGGCGGCGGAATGTTGGGCTGTGTTTGGGATGCGCTTGGGATGATGGCTGTTGGGGTTGGAGGGGTGCAGATTTCTCACCAGCGTGCTTGGCTTTTAAGATCAGTTTTAGATTTAAAATCACTATTGCCTGTCTCTTAACAGGAGCTGCTATAAACTTAACACAGAAATGCCGTAATGTTACTAACCTGTAGTTAATTTTTAATTTCAATAGGTGACTCGAGTCACCAGTCATTTATGGCATCATTTTTCTCATACAGAACCCTCACTTCTTTCAGATAGTCTTAAAATCTGTGGGCATCCCAAGGACTGGAATCTGAATTTGGGTTTCACTGCATGTTAGAATTTGGGTAGGATACTTAGAATGCCTAGAGTTTGGATAAGTGAATTTTAACTCTTTTGCTTATTGTCGTCCATAGATTTGTCTACCAGCAACTACAGAAGATTAATGAATTTAACTACAAATACCAATGGTTTCTGTCAGTGCACCTGCCCATCACCCCAAGGACATCACAACATGCTGCTGTGCTTTTTTAAACCCAGATGGCCTGGTCTGGTGGAAATATTTCAGGTGGAGATATACAGGAGCAAGCTCTGCCATTTAATAAGGAGGATTAAGAGTAAGATCAGGATACACCCGGCTCAAATGTGTGAGACAGATATGGCAGGTCAGATTCCAGGCTATCCTAAAATGGACCAAAGTGGAAATGAGTCTTATAGCATGGGAGATGAAAATAATGAAAGCAAATAAAATCTTGCAAAAAATAACTGTCCTATTGCCTGTGTATCAGATGCCTCAAAATAGGAGTTCTCGCTATTGTGGCATGAACCTGGACATAATCCTTAGGCCTCTCACTGCTGTGAAGTGAACACCTTGTTTGGAGAAGCAGCGGCTCATTTGCAACTTGACAAATCCTGCAGTGCTGACTTCTCTTCTATATTCCAAGAGAAAGGATGGAGAAGCCCAGTCTGTGAATCTTAGCATCTCTCTCATTTTACAGTGTTAGAACCCAGACCTTTGCTGGGGAGATAAAAACCCCTAGAGCTGAACCAAGGTGTAAACATTACAACGAAAATAGCTGCAAGGTAGATGTGGAGGGTCAGCTCGTTCTGTGGAAGATGCTTGTGCCTTAAAGCTGGATTCTGAGAGAAGGCAGCACTTTTACAACATGTGCAATAGAGCACTAGAGCCAGAGAAAGCTGAGCAAATCCATTGAAAGGGTCATGCTGTGGATCGTGGTTTTAAATGTGCATTATCCCACGACCAAGTGGATCTTAATGGAAAATCATTGAAAAATCACACAAGCGGATAAAAGAAACCTACCAGTGCCTCATCTCTGAAAGTGCTTTTATGTCACAAGATGCCCAGAAACTGCACAGAAACAGCCATCAGAGGAGACCTCGTCCCAGTGCATGGTGTATCTCTCATCTGAAACTGAGCAGATAAGAAATCTTCATGTAACATGCTTGCCCTTATCAGGATATGGTTAGATGTCCACACAGTGATTTTACCAGTAAGTCAAGTTCTGTTTTTCGTTCTCATACAGTGGCCTCCTCAGCTATAAACTTATCTGTGCAAATAACTTTTATTTGGTCAATACAGAATTTATTGCAGTTTCAGTGTGAGCTGTAAATGTTACCATCAGAAGCTGCTGTAAAACATCTTTATGCTGTTTTAAGAAAAGAAAATGTAAGAATTCCAAAAATTCTAAAAATATGTTGTAAATGTTCACATTCGGATGATGTTCCTTCATTCTGCAAAATCCTGTCTCATTTTTTATTTTGGATTCTGAATGTTTCTAGGAGTAGTTGATCATCATATTCCAATTATTTCAATATTATTAGCTTTTTAATGGCTCTAACATTACTGTAAAGGTACTTCTATCAAGGTTAATGCTTTTTTTAGCTTTTTCAAGTTTTGTGACACTGCTATTAGCTAAGTATTGTCTCCATTTATAAATGGAAGACCTTGACTGAGTAAGATCATCTGTGTCTCCTAAATCACAAAAGGACATTATTCCAGTATTCTCCTGCTGTTCACCTTTGCATTAACTACTGATGTTCCTTATTTACTTATTATTCTCTTTTGTATTTTTTCTCTCATTGATTAAATAACGTTTCTGTTACTAATTGCAAGTGTTTTGCCCTCAGTAAAGCTATGAATTTAGCCTGTGGGTAAAATCTTGAAAGATTGTGTACAAAGGTAGTCGGGGCATTGTGCTGTTTAACCTTTCAGTGTTGTGGGTGATTGCAGCGATTAATTGATTTTAGCAAGATTTCCATGCCTGCTTCTGTTAATATGAATCAAATTCCTGCTTTATGCTTTGAACCACTGATTTGGTTCTGATTGCTCAGTAGGGCCAAGTGAAAAAACAGGTAATTGTAAAATAAGGTGATGGCTCAGGGGTGTACTCTGGAGTTTGTGGCAGTGGTCAGGTAAGAAAACTGACAATGTTAGGAACGTTGGGGAATGTGGAATGACAGGGCTTCCAGTAACTGTAGCCAGGCCAAGCATTGCATCAATGTCACGGTAAAGGTTTTGAATGGTTTAGATTGAGTTATATGTTACACAGTCTAATTTTGATGTCTTCGTTGTTTTTGGCATACATTGGGTTGTATGAGGCTTTTTACTTTTGAAAGGGCCAGAGATAGAATTCTTACAGAAGGTTATAGCAGACTTCCTGGTGAAAAATTGATTGGAAAACCAGTAATTTTTAGAACTAAAAGCAAAACAAGTATTTTATTTGCTTCGCAATGACTTACAGCATCTTCACTTAATTGTGTGTGACTGCAAGCCAACAATAAGACCGCAGGCCAGTATAACTTTTTCTCTAAGGGATTAGGAAGGAAAGCATGTGGAAAGACAGCTGCAATTCACAGTATTTCAAAATAGAGATGACTACAACAGTGAAGAGACTCATGAGTGTTTATGCAAACAATGTTTTTGTAAGTGAAAGGATATCTGTTTTTTATTAAGAAATTATAAATTGTCTCTTGAATGAGTGGTTTCATTCCTTTTTGATGGGAGACGTGGTGATCAAAAATCCATCTCCCTTACAATTGCAGTGAGAAAACCTGGGACTAGATTTTCCAAGATACTCTTTTGACAATTTGCGTTATGTCTGGGGACAGTGAATTTTGAAAATTATAACTTGCTATTCACTGTTATGTTAACATGCAGGAAGTTTACTTAATTTTAGCTTCCTGGAGAAAAATTAAATTGGTTAAATAATAATTTTTAAGTTCTCAATAGTAGTATAGAATTGCAAATATTTTATATTTGTTGTGATTATTGTTTACATTTTTGTGATAAATGTGAGCAAAGAAGCCTTTCTAAATGTTTATTTAATGCCTGCTAATGAAAAAAATGTGTAACATGATAAGGAACTGTCCTTTGCTGATTTGTTCTGCTTGCAGAGCTAATAAAATGGGAATGAGAGCCTTCCTGCTTGCTATGGGGATAGTTTTTGAAACAAGTTTTAAATGTAGCTTTGCACTTGTGTAAGGTTCTGTTTAACTTAGTGTCAAGTTTCACCTGTAATTTCTAAGGTAATTTGGTACACTATGCTTGTTGTAGCTTTTGACCTGAGTGAAAGCCTAAGTGGTTACTGGGAAAAAATGTACAAATTGCTACAATACTGAAGTTTCTTCTTAATTTCTTACTTGGGATAAAATTATCAGTTTGTCATTCTGGGAGATTCTTGTATGAGATTATGTCATGTTATTTGTTTTTCACTTTTCTAAATTAAAACAGTTGTCGGTAGTTGCGTAGGCTGTGTGGTGACAGTCTTCTGTCTGCATCAGGGATAGAGGCAAAAGACCAGAAAGATTATTCGTGCTGCCTTTCATTACTTTGGGCCTTTGAATCTCAAATCTTAAAAAAGAGTTCAGAAGTTGCTACAAAAGCTGAGTGATTTTTATATTAAAACCTTTACAGGAAACGATTAGTTTCATGGAAATGCTTCCATTTCCCATTAAACAGAAATCCTCTTTGCAAAACCTGCAACCTCCAACCAGTAGTTTCTCCAGACCAAATTTAGAGTGTTAGCAAATGCGCTTAGAAGAAAATGGACATGTAAAGTACACTGTGTATGCCTCTAAAAATAATCCTTTGAGGCTTGGGTATTTTGATGTTTCCTAAGTATCTGTTCCTTCAATATTTTTCATGTGCTCTATAATTCACATCAAAATAACTCCACCTCAGGGATATATTTTCCTAACTCATTTTAAATTATGGTTTGAAATATTTGAGAGCTCCTTGTTATCATGTTTTGGTTTTTTGTTCTGTTTTGACATTGGGAGTGCATTAAGCATTTGCAGAGTTGAGCTAACCTTGGATTTTCTGCCAGAGGCCCCATGGTCAAATTATGTCTTCATAATCAATAAATGTTCTTTATTCTGAAATACTGTGCATCTCAGCCTAAGTCGACCTCATATTACTTAATAAGCACAAAATACTTTTAAACTACATAGGAGTTAAGTTTGAACATTTATGTTAATTGTTTAATGTGGATAAATGTTTTTCTTCTGATTTAAATTAATGTATTTACTCTGATTTTAACCTATTGTAACAAACTGTGGCCTTTAATGCAGCCAAGGAATGGATCAAGGTCTGTACGATTTTCCCAGTTATTTTCCCTTTTTCCCCAGTGCTAAATATTTGCTTAATGCAAATGTACGTCCAAGTAAATTTGTTTTAATTGGTGGAAGAAGGCTTTAAAACTCATTAGGTAGATTGGAGCTGTGTTTTGAATGGCTGGGGGAAGGACTAGGAAGTTCTTACAGTCTTCTTGAAGGCACTAAACAAAGCAGTCAATGGTGGTGGGATGTGGGAGCTGCACTGAGCTAGCAACTGAGCAGCTAAGGAGGTAGAGGAGAAAAGAAGGCAACAACACTCAGTGCAGGGAATCTGGATGCAGGACATGATGAGGTGCTTGGATTTTTGAGTTTTTATGTCGCTTTGAGTTTCTGATGGGCTTATTTTGGCAATTGGTAAATGCTTGGTTGCATAGCTAGTTGTCTGTTAGTTTAAAAGGAAATTCTTCCTTGTTAAGTTGGTAGCAACAAGTTTATCTTCCTTACAAGTCTTGCTTCATCTTACTCAGTGACAGCTTTATTTCCATCTGAAAGAGGCAGGTATCCTTTCTTCATACAGGGAAGACTCTATTACATCACACTTTTATTGTTTGTTGTGTTATCAAACTGGGAGTGGGGATACTGTACTGCTTAACATGTTGAAGCTGAAGAGTGCTTCATGTCTGAAGCTTTTCTGGATTTAGTTTTGTGTGAATGTGACTGGAATAATACCAGAATTGTAATACTCTTGATGATGACCAGGTTCAATATTCAATTTAGATCTGTTTTGACCCAAAAGATTAGTCTCTTTCTGATTCCTTTTTGGAGATTTAACAGTCTCAAAGGTGCATGTTGCAGTTCATGCTGTTACCAGTTTCAATTCCTCAGATCTTGACCTACAAAAAAAGACGTAGACTTGTGTTGGAGCAGAGCTACGTGAAGAGACTTGTCCATGTCTCTGATTTCAGACTGCCGTCTTCAGTTAATCTCATTAAGTGAAGCAAGGTGAATCTTATGGGGAAATGTATAGCAGCCTATCAATGAATATATATGAGCTTCAGTTTCATTAAATGAGCAATTCTTATGGCTAACTTCAACACTTCTTAAATCCTAAAGCAACTTTCAAAGAACTCTATCTAGCTTTGTCTCTTGCAGGGTGAACAAAAGTGGAGCAGGGGGGAACTATGCATTCTTATACCATCAATGTTTGATTTTCTAAGTTATCTTTAATAGTGGTAGAGGCTGTACGTCTCTAGCAGCAGTTCTTCTTCATGCTGATGTATACATACCCCCACAATATTATGTTAAAGATGGCCCCTTTCACTGAAATCAGTAATGAATTTACGACGTACCTACATCTCTCACTTCTGTGTTTTACTGCACGTTTTGTATTTAGAGTTATGAAACCACACTGCATTTTTTTTTTACTCTAGATGATCTGCTGTGTTACCAGTGTTGTTATTTGTTTAAAGGATACTGTTTTCACTTGTTCTTCTGTCTTGCTTTTTTGTTTGTTTGTTTAAACTGTTTTGACTGAAATTTCTTACCACTGTTCTTTGCCTACAACTAATACTTTTCCTTTCAAAACAAATCAACCAAAATGATTCAGCCAATTTTTCAGAATGCACATGGAGAAAACCTTCCGTTCATAATGTTTTCAAGTGGAAACCATAGGACTGTGGATACCTTTTATTTAAAAAGCCCTAATAGTCTGTGGCTTGCAGGAAATTTATAAACCTTTTTCAGAGGGTGTCATCTATTAGAATAGATGAAAGGCCACATTCCTGATGCAAAAATCTGTTGAGATTTGGCCTCTTCACAGTCTCTGAAAAATGCAGTGAGCAAAGATGATACCTTATTGCAGGAAGCTAGGTGTGACAGACTGTTTTAGGGAGGCAGGGACAGGATCTGAGAAAACTTGCCAGTTTTCTTTGGTGCCTGGCTTGCAAAGAATTTTAATTCTTTTGTAGACAGCATATAAAAAAAAATTGTATACTGAGGACTGGTGGAGCTGGAAAACCTGTGAGAAGTTGTTAGAGGAAAAGATTGAAAAGAGGAGATGAACTTCAGCAGAATTTGGCATGTTAGAAAAACTGCTACTGGGACAGGGCAAAGTGGGCAAAGAGTAAAATAATGGGAAGTTTCAGAAGATGAGAATAACTTGGGCAACAGTTTGGTCTGAAGTGGACAGAAGGGATTTAGTGTCAGACATGTGAACCAGCATTAAAATAAGAGGCTACACAATCACTTCTGTTTACTATTGCTGCCATTATTCAAATGACAATCAGTTCAAGCATCAGAGGTTTCTGGCATATACATACGATTCCCTTTTGTGAAATCTGGAATTTATGTTTTAACTTCTTAGGTATTTTGATTCAAAAAATAAAGCCTAAAACTTGTTAAACATCAAAAAGAAAACAAACCAAGCAAACAAAAAGTTAAGAAAACTCTTGGTACAGGTTTAAAAGCCAAACACTCATCTGTGTGGGTGGGTACACTTGAAAAATCTTCAGTTGCCTGACTTCACTGTATATAAATTTCTGCCTCCAGTGATCCTTTTGAAATTCAGTGTGTAGAACGGGTAGTGCTTCATTTTTATTCTTTAGAGAAGAGAGTTGATACACAAAAAACAACGAAATTAAGGTTATCAAAGCAACTTTAATTTTGGCAATTCCTAATTTTTATTTCTTGGCTTAGCAATCTCGGTGGGTTGGGATTTTATTTGAGTTTTTTTAATATAGGTTGTATTTTGTGTTGTGGGAGATACATTGTGAGTCTTAACACACTAAAATAAATTATGAAAAATGTCATCTTCTTTAGCAGCTGCTGTATGTTCTGAGTTTGTAGGCTGTACATTGCTGAACGTCATGTGTGTACCGTACAGTACATGGCTTTATAAAAGTTCACATATTTCTTCCTTAGGTCCTGTGACATGTAGACCCTTCAGGTCACCGGCTTCAGCTCCATCACAGTATCCTTACATGTGTTGGTGGTGCCTTGACCACTGAACCACGCTGGAGAAACTGGTGTACACTCAATTGGAAGGTCAGGTAAGTGTTTGTTTATTCATAATGCTGTCTTGTATACAGCATATGAAAAAAATCCGTAAGATTTTGAATAATTCTTTAATCTGTAAGTGGTCACAAAATCGGCAATTTTCCAATTTATGCCTCCTTTTCTTTCAGTCACTAGAGACTCCATAATGCAGCAGTTCTTGTAATCTGATGCATTGCTGTGTCATCACATTAAAAAGAACTGGCAATTTAATAAATAAGTCTTGATGACACTGGGTGAGGAAAAGAAGTCTTTATTTTTTTCTTTCTGTAAATAGCAGTGTGCTGAAATGTCTCACATTACCAAGTTCTGGTTTTTACAAATCATCTTCAGAGTTGGTACAACTGTTTTGAGATTGATTGATTTTATATAACAATTAACATCAGATTTTATATCTTGTTTAAAAGGTGGGGGGAGGACAAAGAGAATTTTGGGTACTTTCTTAGTTTGTTGCTAATACAAAAGCAGTAATGTACAAACTATGTCAGATTAAGTGATTCTGTGCCGAATAATGCTGTGGATTAAAGTATTTCACTTACTCTGAAGCAAACACTGGCTATCTTCTCAATCATGTAATGCATTTTCTTTTCCCCTAGTTTTATAAAGTATATATGCAGCACTGTGTTTCTTAAACTTCTATTTTAGGTTGGAAATGGCTGACATTTCACTGATGTTTGTATTAGTCTTAACAGTGTAATTAGAATTATATGCTATTTTAACAATATTTGGATATTCATAAGTCAATTCCTTTCAATATAACAGCTTTATCATGTGAAAGGTTGTTTTGCTCTTTATCTACACATATAGTGATTGTTAGAAGTTTTGCTGAGGAAATTTAGAAAAGACAACTACTTAAAATGTGTGTTGTCGGATTAAGCTTTTGGATGATAAATACATTGTAATCTGGTAAACCAAATGGATTCAGGTCAAATGAGACACTTGAAAATCATGTTTCTCCTTCCTGCATTGTCACTTTTAAAAGGAAAGGGATATTTATTGTCATGGCAAGTATGTCAAACACAGTAGAGGCTTTCCAAATGCTGTCATTTTTATGATTATAATTTGTGCTTACCTAATTTTGGTTTTATCTTTTGTTGAGTCAAGCAGAACTTTAGCAATTTGATAGTGCAAGTGTGCATCCCGTAATGACAATCTGTACTTCCTGGGTGTGTATGAATGGCAGTTAAACATTTCTGTGAGTCACTTGCCTTTTCATTGTATTTGCAAGAGTAAAACATAGCAGTTCTTTCCTCAAAATTACTTACATTTAACTTGGATCTAACTTTGTCCTAAAGGATAAAAAACAAACAAACAACAAAAGAAAATGAACAAAAGATATCCCAAAAAAATGGCTTTTTTTGAGCTCTATTTTATGTGTGTTTCACAAACATAATACAGAATAAGGAGCAAGGTTTATTTTCTCTATGACTTTGTCTTTCACCTGAAAGTATAATATCTGAGATTTTTCAGTCTTTCCATCACTGATGGTATTATAAAATATTGGTTGATAGTATATTTTGTGTTTCTTTTGGAATTAGTTTACATAATTTATTTGTTAATTGGCAATCTAGAGAAGAGTTGAAGGAGTATATGGAAAATCACAGAACTTCTACATCAGTCTTGTCTTCATTTTGGGATCAAGTATTCAAAACCAGACATCAAATGAGTGGACATCACAAAACAAATCCATCATAAAAAAAACAAACCCACAAATGAAAGAGAGGGACAGAAGAAAGAAACCTGAAGATAATCCTGTGTGCTGCAACACAAAAGCAACTAGAAAGAAGGATTCAAGGTAATTTAAAAGCCATACTTACAATAGGTACCACCTCTATTACAGCAAAACTTGCAATTTTGTTCCTTCACTGCAGAACTTTTGATAGTCTGGCACATTTATTTGTTTGAATTTATAACTTTTGTAAGAAAGTTACACCTGAATAGCCTGAAAAAAAATAAGGTACCCTATTCAAATAGCTGCCTTCTACTTGGTTTATGGTAGTACCAGGCTTTTGATAAATTAAGAAGGCGCTGATCAGAAGGTGCTGCTAAAAGTTTTCTATTACATTTTGTTACAAGAAACAACAAAGTGGAGTCATTGAGACAGGCTCTTGGAAGAGCCAAGAGAGGTGCTGTGAGACCTCTTGGAATTCTATAAGTTAACTAGGTGAAAAAACAGCTTCCTTTGTAGTCAAGGCTGCATTTTCAAGAGTCATATTTACTGAACACCAGTTTTATCAGTTACTGTAAAATTCTACTTATCTGCAGTTGTAAGAGTTAACACCAACACTTTGCCTGACCTCAAACGCATCCTTTCTTCCAAGGAGAAGTTGAGAAGGCATTTGATGCTATCCTATTATTCAGAAAAGGTTGGGTTTTTTTAGATGAAGAAATAGTCATCTCTGGTAGCCACCAGAGTTGACATTACCACATATTCTGATAACTTTCCTAATCTGTAGATAGAGAAGTTTGTGTTCATCTGTTTCTCTCATCTCTCCTAAGTATGTGAATTTGGTTTCGGGCGTGTTCTTTTTTTTATTGTTGTTAATGGCCATGCATATGGCCGTTATGTTAATGGCCATACATTATTAGAAAACATTTTCATAATAGTTTAACTATAGAAGTCACTTCTGACTTCTACAGTTGTGTATTAATAAATTAATTCAAATTGTCAAACTTTTTTCCCCAAATAGCTTCTTTATCCCAATGTTTTCTAGGAATGAAGTATTTATGTATATACATAATATACATATATATATACACACATATATATACTATACATAATATACATATATACATAATATATACACATTATTATATGTATATATACATATAATATATACATTATATATATATATATATATATACAGTATAATATGGATTTCCTAAATTGGAAATTTAAATCCTGAATCTGGATTTCCTGTTTTGATGCTGTTATTGCTCATGTGGAAAGAAATAAATGTATGTTTTAGGAGCTTGTGAAATAGGTACAATAAAAAAAGGCAAAAGTGGAAAAAAAGGCCTAATTACTTGAAGTAAGTTAGCAGCTTTGTTAGTAGGTAGTGAGTAGACCAGTGTGCTATTGATGTACCTTTCATTTAGGCATTTGTCTTTTGTTTGGGGTTTTTTTTGGGTTTTTTTAAATAAAGTAGTTAACAAAACTTTCCTCTGTTTTAAATTAGAGAAGTATAAGCACATTACATTACTATATCATTGCCACAGTTATTTTTGAATCAGCGGAGTATGATAATCCAAATTTTTTCTGAGGTTTCATGTTAAACATGTTATCTGATGAACGCACTAGCTTTCTGTTTCGAAAGCAAAGGGAGCATTTATGGGCTGGGTCTCTGGAGCTCTCCCTGCAATGCTGCTTGTAATTACCACCAAGATTAGGAACTTGAACTTTTCACACCTAGTCCTGACTTGAGCTCTCGCTTGACTTAGTTTTGTACAGCAAAACAAACTTCATGTCAACATTGTTTCTTTCTTACAGCCCCCTGAAGCGCAAACTCCTGAAACCAGCAATTACCTTTAGTTCCAGCCTGTGTCTGTCTCTTAATTCTTTCTGCTGAAGGCCCTGACCCCACAGCAGAACAGGATCTGTTGCCGGTCGCAGCCGGCTCAGTTGCACACAGCTCAAGCCAGCTGTGTGTCCTGCAGCATAGATTGAGCAGCTGATGGCTGAATGGCATCGAGACAACACTACCATACTGACCGTGACTCCAAGCCCCTGCAGAACTCCAGCATGCCAAAGCAAGTAGCCTCATTTCCTCCTTGTCCCAGCGTTGTCTCTCGTTATACCCAACACAGTCACTCGGGAACTATATTTTAGAGTCTATTGATGCTGTTACCCCTTAAGAAATTCTTTTAAACTAACAAAGGTCTGCTGTCACAAGGTTACCAGCGACGTTTTCCTAACGGGCCTTGGAAAACCAGCTGTTTTTCCTTGCTATCTTGTGGTGCTTTGTTTGTTTTTCACCTGGAGGGGGCAGCAAATGAACAACGTCAAAGGGGAATTTTTACTTTTCCAATGCTTTTCTAGCATTCTTTTTTACCCGAGATCCTCAGTGTGAACTACATACCGATGTGAGAGTTTAAAACGATGATTTTTACCTATTTGCTATGAGGACAGCTGGAATGTATGAGTTGGAAATCTTCATTCTTTTTGGTATTAAACAGTAGAATTTATTTAGTAAAATCTATCTCCAGTTTATAAAAAGGGCAGTTCTGTATGAAGGTTTAAGATTTTTATGACTATGGCAATTAGGTCTATGTATATTTTAAAGGATAAAATAACCAAAAAACCAAACTCCATGACAATATTAGTTAATGTCACCTACGCCTTACTTAATGTATTTCAAATATTTATTTTCTGTGTTGCAAATTAATGTAATATTACAATTCAAAATAATGTTCTCACAGCCATTTTTCTTCCCTCAGAAAATAAAACTGAGGATACACTAAATCTAGTGATGCTTTTAATTCATGTATAATTAATGCATTTATGTACAAGGGTGGCTTGTGTGTACTGCTGACAGAGCATGGGAGTTAAAGGTCTGAATTCACGGGGAATTCTACTGATGTTAAACAATATAACCAAGTTTTATTGCCTTGTGTCAGCCACAAAGTACAGTTTTATCATCTAAAATTTTATGGAGGCATGCCATATTACTGATTGGGAGTATAGTGGGGGGGGTTGTGACTATAGGAAAATGCTAACTATTATTTATCACTGTGAATTTCTTGAAAGTGTGTGGCTGTTGTTCTGTTAAGTTACAGATCAAGTAGTTAGCAAGAAGCCACAGAGAGAGGGCAGTCTAATCTTTTCAGTGGCTGAGTTCTATCCAATAGTTTCTATAAAAGAAGGGAAGATCATAGAGGCATCTGTGAGTATCAGGTCCTATAATCAGTGTCCAAAAGCTAACTGGGAAGAATGAAGCTGATTCCTAATAGGACTGATTTATTGATAGTCTAACCTTCATGATTTTCATTTAAAATCATAAGTGTTATAATGCTTGTGAGACCTTTATGGAGTCTGAAACTTAATCAAGGGAATTCAAGACCTTTTGGTCTAAATGGGTCAGAATTTCCCACTGTGTAGATACACCTTATCTATACGTCAAGAATGAAAGGCTGAATCATCCATATTCCAGGTTCCTCTGGACTTTTGTCCCTTAACTTTAGAAGACTTAACCAACCCTCCTTTTCTCCTTCAAAAAAAAAGAGAATGTGTCAGTATTTCCAGGGAGTTTGCACTGCAAGTGCTGCCTATGATGACAACTTTGTCAGAATTCTGAAATTTTCATTTAAAGCTATTAAATGGGCTGGAAATAGGCAGTTATGCTTACTTTTTTTTTTTTAAAGAGTAATTGAAATAGCTAGAAAGTCCTAGTAGCTCTACTTTTCTACAAAGCATTTCAGAAAGGTTGTTATATTAAGTCATTGTGAAATGACTTTAAATTCATTGAATATACAGTTATAATTCTCATTTAAATGAGTAGAAATGAAAACAATAAATATTTTCCTAGTCTGTGAATTGGTATGTTACACCTTTGAACTACACTTGGATTCACAAGGGTATTACAGAAAATGTTCTCTATATTATTGGTCTCTGCTTCATAGCTCTAAAAAGGTTCTGACTCTCCTGTAGGAGTTAAAACTCTAGATTTTTGACTTTTGTGGTTTTTCTGTGATGGTTTTTCCACCTTAAAGATGACAAATGTTCAGGGAAGTGGGGAAAATTATTACAAATAGTTACACAGAATGGCACAGCTTGACTTTCAGAGTTGGCTTTCATCTTGAAGCCTGCTGTTTAAATCCCAGATTTTTCCATATTGGCCCTTGGTTCTACTGAGGTCACTGTTTTAGCACCTTCTCTTCATCAAATGCTTCAACAACTCCCCTGAGTAGTTAAGTTCTCTCATGCAAGTTAAGGGCTTTTATTCTTTGAGCAATGTAAGCCTCATTTCCGTGGTGCAAAAAACTGTTAATCCACACAAACAACTGAGGATTAAATCCCCTTTTGCATCTTTCTTGTTTGAATACTGTTGCATAAAATATCAACTCTACAATTCACTCTTACTTTAGAATTAGCAGAAATACTTTTACCAGTAGAATTTTTGAGTATAATATAAACTAACTTCATTGTTTTCTAAAATACTTTGTTTTCAAAATAGCTGGACTTTAATTGCCCTCATAAATGTGTCATGAAAATAACTGTGTTTTCATTATGAAGTGTTTAAAGAATGAGTAATCCTGTTTATTACATCCAACATGTGAATGTAGTGCATGTATTTGGAAATAGTATTTACTCAGTCATTAATTATTTACAGGTATGTGTCCTTTTGCTGAGTGCTTGTCAATAATCTTGATATAGGTGCACCTTTTTAAACCTGCTATAGTTGACTTTCACAAGGCAAAGATTTTAAACTTCTATGCTTGTCTTTCTCCCTTTGAAATTATTGTGTGTTAATGTGACTTTACAGCATTAAAGACTTGTGTTTGAATTTGTGACTACCCAGTGCTTCCACTGTTGCTGAAATTTGAGGAACTCTAAGTGCTTAGAGTGATACGGTTTTGAGGTATTCTAAGCATGGTATGGGGAAAATCTGGAAGATCAAGGAATTTGGAACACCACATCTCTGATCTGCATTGGTCTTTTCAAATGTTTTACAATAAGCACATACATAATTTTCATATTTCCCCTGCCCCCTTTTAAATAAATTCCACTTGCAGGCCTGAAAGAGTAGCAGGTCACACAGCAGAGACAAGTAATTTCTAGAAAAGTTAGGTGGACCGTTCAGGCATAAAAATACCATCATCTGATATGATTATATTGCATTATGCAATATTGGCTGCTAGTAAATCAATTTGACACAGTGAACTGTCATTTTGGGAATATAAATAAATAATTGAAAAATAATAAACTAGTGACTGAAGTATTTCATTGTATACAGGTCTGATAGGAATCTTTGTGCTCTTCTCCATAGTGATATCAATCTTTCCTAACTAATAGCCTTAAATACTCATGATAAAAGACATTAAAAGCCTAAATTAACACAGTAACTGAGAAATGTAATCCCTTCAGACCACTTACACAGGAAGAATAGATGATGACTTTCCAGCTGTGACAAGGTTCATTTCCTTTTTGACAGGAAGCATTCTTGTAGTTAGCTCTGCAGAAACACATGGTAATGCATGCTGGCATCAAAGCCTTTCATTGCCAGCACTGTGAGTAGGAAACAAGGTCTCTCTGATACACCAGATGCAAATGCATACAGGTGAATTACATGTATGTCTTCTTTATGTTACCACTTAGGTAAACTGCTTAGGGAGGAAAAAAAAAAAGTACTGTACAGTTGAATATTGAATGCTGCGTAGGAGTGATCCTTTTGTGGCGTGAAAAAGATTTCTAGAGAAAAGGGGTATTTTTCCCCTACTGGTAGTTTTATCTCTTATGTTGAATATGCAAAAAGCAAACACTGTGATCCTGATTTAACAAAATAGGCAAATCTTTAACAGAAATGTTTTGGGGTTTTTTAATGGCAATTAGGGATATTGATCTTTGAGGATATATTTGATACTGATTTAGGATTTGTATTCAGAAGACACCTATCTAAAGATATAGATACTGTAAAGACAAGGATAGCTTACATTGCTGGTTTGTTAACTGAAAAGCCTGTCTCTCCTAGTTCAGAAGGATGTGGGCTTTAACTAGTTCATAAGTCTTTTTCTGTTCTGGTACTCCACAGCCAGGATAGAAGTAGGAATATCATCTCAAAACTTTTAAAATCAACTTGCACATACTGGCATATTTCAAGATTTTCAGTATGATAGAGGTTTTTCCACCTTGACTACATTCCTTTTCATTTTCTGGAAAGCTTCCTGCTTCAATTTTTTTGTTTCGAAATTTAATGTTGAATCTCTGTCAAAGGCCCAGCCTCTCTGTGTCTTATGCTCTGGGGTCCTTTCTGCCTCAGTCAAGTGATTTGTTTACATACACTTTGCATTGCCATGATTATATTAAGTCTAGCATTCTACCAGAAAAGTGACTTGCATCAGAAATTCTGAATTACACTGAAGAAAGTACTTTGTAGCACTGTCTGCTTGGAACTGTTGGATCTGCTCCATCTTGTTGGTATTTAAAAAGTAAAGCCTTCCTCCTTTCTTCTGAACTGAGCATTTTATAGAATTAGAAAATAAGTTTAACTGAATGAATAGGATGGAAACGTGCTATGTTGTGTTTAGTGGTGTTGTGAAAACTTGGTACGTGCAGTGAGTGGGTGGACGGGGCAGTGGGAGCCAAATTCGATGCTCGTGGTAATATTTAAATAAAATAGCTTGTGGAAAACTTGTCCTATAGGACCTGGCAGCATAGTGAATAGGGAATATCCACCTTTGTCCACATTGGCAGAATTAACTTCCTGTCAAGTTGAAATGGAATACTCTTGCATCCGTTTGGCAGGAGTGCGGCACTCCCAACACTTGAGCGTTGTGGGTGGTGCTCCATCCCACAGCGTTGGAGCCATGGCATCACACATGGTGGCAGAGGAGAGTAGGCAGATGTCTGGCAGGAAACATAGGTGTGAAGGGGACTGATAGACGACTCATGGTACTGGGACAGATGGTTCTCAATCTCTGTGGTGGCAAGTGTGTCGTGTCTTCAAAGACAGACATTTGCTCTATTAAATATTCTTAGCTTATGTAGAAGGCAACTGACAGGGCTTCTGAAGGTACAGAAGAAGGAGAGTGATGGGCAGAAAAGTGCTGACAGACTTCTGCTGGGAGCCTGGCTAGGCAATATGTCTAGGCACTGTTAATGGTGTTTGGGTGCATAAGTAGACAAGTGACCAAATCCAGATAAAATAAATTAAACTTATGCAAAAAATGAAGGCACTGACTAGAAGAACAATTGCAAATCTAGAACTGTCTCCTATTCCTTGTTATGCTGATGACCAGCTATGTGACCCACAGCAAACACATGTAATTAGTGTTAGGAAGCCACTTATTACCTATGAAAATATGATTTATTGTCTAGATAACCAAGGCATTGACTACTGCTCCTGAAAATGTCATCAACCTTTTCCTGTTTATTTCTCTATTGACAACTGGGGGTAAGCAGAAAGAATGCTGGCTATGCAGTAGTCCTGCAATGTGATATCCCCTGCATTAATTCTTGAAAGATAGCAGTAATGAAACTGGCACAGTAGAGTTACTTGTAATAATGTTGGTGTGAAATGTCTTGAGGAGAATTATTACTCTACCAGGGTTGGTGTTAGGACATAGATTCTTTAAATTTGTTCGCTTCTCATTACTTTTTTTTTTACTCAAATGTTTTCATTGGTATTTATTTTATTTTTGACTATAAAAATGAAAATAAGTGTGCCTATTTGGGGATTGGACAGAATGACCTTCATTCAACCCTGACCTTTCTGTGATTCCATTTCATTTTTTTAGGCTGTGCCTGCTTTCTGGTTAGTCCATTTCAGGTCCTCCACTGTAAGACTAATTTTTCAGAATTTTCATACAAATATTAAGTTAAATATTGTAAATTAGAATTTTTCAGTGAGAGTGTAAATGAAAGGGGAAGCTAGTTCTTTAAGAATATACCTTTCAATGTTTTTGTTACTGAAAGTAATTGTTTTCCTTTGTCACCTAAATATTGTCCTTGCTGTCCTTAGAGAAAATTCTGTGTGTGTTTTCTTCATTAAGTTAAAATGCCTTTACCTTAATGTAATTTCCTATCGCTTCTTGAAAATTTCCTGTTCTGCTACATTCCCCTTTGTGGGTGATTTGTTCGTTTTCAATTGGTGACATAGAATACACTGAAAGTTGTCCCTCCAAACTTTAATTCAGAAAAAAAGATCAAAACTAAATTTGGAAATGGTTCTGTCCAGTTTTTCTTGAATAGACTTATGGCTGAAGCCAAATTTAGGTGAGGTAGGTCTGCCACTGGTAAAACAGACTACAACCTTTAACTGACCAGACCGTTATCTAAGACCATGCTTCATTAGCAACAGGATCATGAAAGATGAGCTGTGGCTTGGAGGACGTGCTGTAAATGCTAATCCACTGATATCCTTCTGAATTTCCCACACACACTTTGTGTTCCCCTGGAAGATACGGCATCCTTCGTATTTGCTTTCCATTTCCTGGTAGGCGAGAGGCCCTTCAAATGTGAGGTCTGTTCTTATGCCTCTATAGTGGCACTTGCAAACGCATGCTAGTGAGGTGCCCTACGAATGTTGACTCTGTTCATATAGTTGGTAACTGTAAACAATCCCTCTGTCAGACAAATTGTGTACATCTGTTGGCTTTTAAAAAACAACAACAAAACCCCGCACTTTAAGGTAGGCACTCCCACCGAAGTCAAGCATTTACAGATATTCTTGTTGGGGCCTTGGCTCTCTGAAGGCTTTTTTGTTTAAGGGAATTGCTTTCTGTCCCTTATTTACAACTCTTTCTATATTTAACTACTACATAGACTGTGCTGCAAGATGTATGGAACACTAACAGGATAAATACAAAAATATCCAGTTAAAGGTGACAGTACCTGTGCATATGTGTGAAGGGGTACTGGGACAAGTGGTATTGACTTATTAAAAAACCCAAAACTGTGTTTATTCACTAACTTTATGTCTTAGTTTGGTGTTTTAGGTGCACCACGCTGCTTTTTCACTCTGATTTTGTCTGCAGCTCTGCTTATAGTGTTTTGATGCCACCCTCCCACGGATTGAGGAAATGATCACATTTTTGATAGTGCTAACGCATCTCATTTTGCAGTGTTAGCAGAGTGTGTCATGTGATGAGTGGGAGCATGAGCTGGTCTTAGTAAAACCAAAGTACATGTTGAAAGTATGTACTTAGCAGCCTTAGAGGCTTTTTAAATGTTAAGTTTGTGTGTGTCTAAACTCTTTACACTAAATAATGTACTCTTTGCCTTGTTTATTTTTTTTCATTTAAAACTGAAAGGTTTAAACTAAGATAAGCTAATGTCCACAAGTCACTTCTTGAGGTGTGCAGTGTTTGGTGGAGAGACAGATTGATTACTTTTGGTTTGTTACTTGTGTAACAAAAAAAATAAAAAGGTTAGTTTACTCCGATTCTTTAGCTCTTATAATAAAGGCAATTCTGATTACAAAACCAGTGCTCCTTTTGGAGAGCCTTTGGATGCCAGAATTAAAAACTGGAAATGCATCTATCAAAAGTGATAAAATACCTTGAGCTTAAGGTAAGTTCCCTCTTCACCAAGAGGTCTTCAATATCTGGTAATGGAATAACAGGAGAAAAAGGCTTTTTCCTAGTTTTTGTGGCAGATGTGTAAAAATGCAGAATTGTAAACATTATCCAAATGTTGTAACAAAAAATGAAGGAAATTCCTATAATGAAATGATCACTTACTGGCCTTGTTGCAACAATTTGTTTAGTTATGGGATACAACTAAGCATGGCAGGGAGCTGTCATTAAGTCCTGTACTACTAAACATCCCTTTTTAGGACAAATCATTCTGTAATACCTGTCATGATATTTCATCTCTTTTTACAGTGTTACTGTAAAAAAGCATATACTTTTTCATTTATTTATAATAAGCCCTACTTACAGGGACCTGTGATTTTGTTTCTTTCCAATTATCAATATACCTTCTTTCACCAGCCTACTGTGCCCTGTTAGATGCATGTTAGCCATCATATTATAAACCCTTGCATGCTTAACTTTTGCTGTAAAACTGGTTTCACTTGAAATTAGTGGAATTGTTCTTTAATAAATAAAAAACATTATATAATGAGAGTCTATGGGATCAGGAAGGGAATGTTTTAATCAGTGCCTGTAAGAGTAAATGATAACACCGTCTGAAAGTACTCTTTTGTTGTACTTGAAATCTATACTTAAAAAATATTTAGTTCCTATCTGCATAGTATTCCAGACCTAAATAGATTGGATGTTTGAAATTGCCACTTGTGAAACAGTTTGCCTGAATTGGGTAAACACAATTAGGGTTGTTTTGGTTTTGTTTTTTCTCAAGTAATTTGTTTTGGGTTTGTAATAGTCTTAAGATTTTTAAGCACAATAGAATGTAGCACCCTCTATTTCAGAAATTGTATCAAAAATACAATGAAGTGTAGGAATACTAAAGAGAAAGAAAATTAAAAAACTAAACAAACCCAACCTAGCCCCCAAGGATATTCTTTACACCAACACACAGCCCATTGACTGATTCAGTGTACTGTATTTAGCAGTGAGGTATAAAAGGTAGAAATCACATGCAGATCTGAATGTAAGCAAGACTAAGGATGGCATAACTGCAGTGATGAAATATACAGAAAAGCATGATCTCTAAACCTTTCCTGTATTTTGATATAGTTCATGAATAAATATAAATTTTTTATTGATACTCAGTTACAAAAGAGTGCACCTCTATGTGTATTGACACGTGTGTGTATATATGTACGTGTTTGTAACTGGGATGTTCACAACAGTTAGTCTTTAATGCTTTTGTCTTATCAAGAGGTTAGAGCTATGTAGAAGAGGAGACGTAAATTAGCTTGAGATATCTGCCTTACTTAGTAACTTGGAAGAGGCAGATGACTGCTTCTGATGGCACAGAATCCGACAGGTTCACATTTTTTGTAGTCTTGCTGTCAAAGACTGCAAGAAGATTTCATGGAAATTGTGCAATCCTGATGATAGTAGAGAGGGGGGTCTGTGCTGCTTTAAGAATAATTTATTGGGAAAATGTCTCATCCTTCCTATAAATCTTAGCTTGAAAATGCATGTTTTTCTGTGCTAGGTCAACCAGTTAAATTTTTTGTTACGTGTGAGGGAAACCAAGTGTTAAGGTATGCTTTTCTATTAAGTTAAGCATACTTCAGGATGCCTCAGGTCTTTTGCTTGGTGCATTCATGTAGTAACACCACCACCTAGACACCACTACCACAAATATAGAAACTCCTAAATATTGGCATCACCAACCATGAGGTTTTTAAACTGGTGTGATGTATACATCGTTAAGTCTAAAAATTAGTTTTAGCCAACATAATTGTTTAATCTGACCTCTCTGTAGATTCCATTCTACATTCAATGGAGCATGATGGGCATTCCTAAAAGACATCTTAATTTCACGTGAGACATTATCTAAATGTGGGCTAATTCACCTGTTAGGATTTCTTACTGCCTGCCTACAGTTAACTTTACAGAGGAAATGTAGAAGATAATACATCTGTTGACTATGTGGGTTGAATCCTCCTGTAGGTGTTTGTTTTAGTGTCTTACCTCATAGGTCTGCAAATAGTTGCTGTCAAAATAAATATATCCTAATTAATTGTTTGAGGGAAATCTTAAATTCAGAGAAGCTTATGTCATAAATTGTTAAGTTCTGCAGTTTCCATTGTTTGATGTTGGGTAAATGCTAAGATTAACCCAAAAGTGTAAGTCTGGGTTTTCTTATAGCCTATGTACAGCTGTATTCTTGGTTGATCTTGCATGAGGGAAGAGCCAGAACCCAAAGGTTTAGATTCTAGATTTGGTATTTCCTGAATCTGATAGAAGTGAGGTTTTGATTAGTATCAGATCATAATTCCACTGTCTCAGGGCATGATTTTGACCAATAGTAAGTATGTGGCAGACCTCACGTTTTAATACAGAATGAATCCTGGACAGTATTTGTCAAGGATTAACTTGTTATGGTTAAATTCTTTAGTTTGAGGTTTGTGTCTTGGTCATAGTACAGAATAGGTAGAGTAAATGGCAAATTCAAGTTCAGAATTTTTCAGTATATTCCAACCAGTTTACAGCTTTCAGTACATTGAGCTACAATTATTGCACATGCAAATATGTGCATCTCTGGTATGTGTGGTTGCATGCTGGTGCAATTGTATTCAAAAGATCTAAGTCCATATAGGTCCTATAAAGACCTATAACAACTAGATTGGGACACTTCTTTTGTAGGAGTTTAGATCTTTTGTTGCCTCTACAGAGGCTTTATTTTCAAAGAATAGATATATCCACAAAGATAGATACAGATATATTTGGACATATCTATTTCTAATAGATATATCCACAAAGATAGATATAAATATACCTATCTTTGTGGATGTATCTATTTCTAATAAGAAGAATATCCACAGCTGCACAACTGACACTGAAATAGAAATACTGCTGAAAACATGGTGCAAACTCCATGACCTTACTCCAGTGGTAGGGGAAAAATGGTGAAAGGGCGTTACCTTGCTTGTGTAAAAGGAGAGGCATTTTAGGTCTAGAACCCCTCACTTGGGAGTACAGCTAGCTATAAGCAAAATCAAGCAGGAGAGCTGTGTTCTGGTCTAGCTCTGCTACTGGACAGGGCCATGAGATCTTGAGCAGGATGGCCTACTGTTTGGTGTTTTGGATTTGTGAACACTACAGCTAGAGACTGACTGCCTGTGCTTGTGCAGTGCTCATTCACTGCTACTGATGGTAGTAATGACTGATACATTTCTGTTTTATTACAGCACTCAGAAGAGCTTGGACCTCCACAAACGCTGACATCGCACTGGTGAGGTGTTCGGCTGTAGCTTTTGCTGCTCTTCTTTCCCTGACAAACAACTTCTCTGAAAGCATATTAGGAAATATCACCTGGGTTCAGGAACCTCATTAACTAGTTCCCAGCCCATCTTTACCTTCAAATCACTCCTTGTGGAACATTAGGTTCTTCACGCTTAAACTTCCGCTTGAGCATCCCAGCAAATAAAGAAGCTGTTGGCATGGTCAGGCTTTTGTGCTGAAAGCCAAGGATTATCTGGAAGAAGAGAAGAAATGGTCCTTATGTGGCCATTAAAAGCACTGAGAATGGCCTTTCCAAAGTGCTTTGTGAGCGGTATGGTACAGGTGGTAACTTCAGTGTGCTGAGAGTATCGTGGAGATTTATCTTACACAAAAAAGATTTATCTTGCACAAAATCACATGTTGGTTTTTGGTCTGGTTACCTCTTGCTCATACATTCTGCTTACTTACTAATGAAGAGTTTGACATTTCAAGGCAGAATCTGTTGAATAGTTCCAAAGCTGATGGTGAAAACCCTACAGGTGGTTTCTGCATTACATCTTTCATTTTTAATACAGTCTGTATAAAACAGTAAATGATTCAAGAAAATCTACTGATGCTGTGGCATTCAATGTGGTAAAAAATATTCAGTAAATTTCTTCATGGTTACTTTTTATATCAAAATGTGTCTATTAGCATAATATTATTATTCAATGTTGAAGTAAAAATATAAGCTATTGAAATATGATGTTAAATAAACTTGACTTGAAAATTCAGTGGTTAAGTACATCTGAATCTTATTTACCCAAATAGAAGTTGCTCACCTTAAAATGGTTTTACTCCACATTTATTATTTGACAATGGTGGTTTAAAAAACCCATGGGGATAAAGAAGCTAGTATCTCAACTTTCTACCAGACAGAATCACTGTTCTCTTACAAACAATTGTAAAGAATATGCTACTGCAACAGGATAAAATTTCCCTTCAGGTAAATTGTAGATTTCTTGATTTATAGGAAAATGTTAGTAAGAGAGGTATGTGGAGAAAAGCCATTGGCAATTTATAGGTAGAATCTTTATTAAAGAATTAAAGAGAAACTTTTTTCAGAGAAGAAAATTCTTATATTGTTAGAAACTGATAAGCAGAACAAACATCATCTTCCTCTTGTACATTTGGTACAGAAAAGGTTGGAGATGCCTACCAAATATAAACACTTGATCCTTCTCCATCTGGAAGCATAACAGTTGGATATTTGCGACTGAGCACATATGTTATTACTAATGAGAAATATTTCCTTTCCTTAAAATGCTGCAGTGTAAATTGTATTAACTTGTTTGCACAGCAATCTGATGGTTCTTTAACTTGAAATTGCTTGAGTGGTAAGTACTCATTTATGACAACAGCAGTACTTTATTCTGAAGGATTCCAGCTGCTTTTCACTGACTTTGCATTGGGGAAGCATTTTGATCCATGTTGATGTTAGGCCCAGAGGACACTGACGTAATGTGTTGGTTGTTTAATAGCATTTAGCAGTAGCAAAGGGATGCGAAGGATATGCAGGTATGTGGAATTTAATTAACCAAACTGGAATTCAGCCAAAACTCATGTCAACAGTCCCAATCTTGCAAAAAGCACAAGGAGACTTGTAATAGTTGGTAAGTGAACTGAGCTTTCATTTTGGTGTCACCTTGACAATCTGCTTTTCTAGGGAATTTATTCAGTAATGTTGTAAAGGATGATCTATACCACTTACTAGTAATTGCTAGACATTATTTCTGGCAGCATTCAGCCCGGTTTTTATATCTTTCACAGAAGCACCAAGCTCAATCTTAGCGTTTGAGAACAGGCAAGAGTACAGCTTGGAGTAGCAGAGCTGCAGGCATAGCATGGTGCAGTTGCATGCCCACTAGAATTTTTAATGTGCTGAGTTGTGTTTTTTTTTTTTTCTTTTTTTTCCCCACTGTTGCTTGAGCAGGCTGTATAATAGGCTTGATAAGTTAATTAGAAATGAGATCTTGAATACAAAATAACCACTTTACTTTTTTTTTTTTTTGCATATTTATTACCCTGTTGTAAATGGGGAGAAATATTCAGCATTAACTGGTTTACTGAAAAGACTGATGATAGCAGGTTTTGTATATTTAAGGTATGATTTATAGAACCAAATTCTCATCAGTTCTTTATACCAGCCTCAGGCAGTACAGTTATTCTACAATAAAGTGAGGGATTTTGGTATCTCCTTGTAAGTGATCTTTCAATATGAATATGATGTTCTATCAGAATTATTTCTTTGCCATCTAAAAATAAAGAAAATTTAGATACAGAAACTAGTAATCTTGACATGTTTCTGTTTTGTTTTGTAAGACATCTTGGAATACTAGCTTTTAATCAAAAATCCACACACTTTGGTCATACTGGAAGATAAATGTGGCTATCATGTAAAACTATCATTTAATGATATAAAATATTTAAATGTAGTTAGATCAACATGCAATTAGTTTCTAGTCTAACTGCTAGATGTAGTAGAAATCTTCCAAGCCTGCTTCCAACTCCCAAGCACAATTTTTCAAGGAATATCTGAGTTGCTATGCTTTATTTTCTTTCTGTGTCATCCAGCAAACAGGGACTTGTGTGGCTTTTTGAATGTCAGTTTATGTGATTCTGAGGGGCATCTGAAGTAGGTTTTCTGTGTAACTGTTACAAAGGTGTTAACTGTGTTTACTCTTGAAAGAACTGTCCCATGTATTCCCTTCCCTTCCTAATTCCCTTTTGCTGTCAGGAAAGACCTGTCATAAAGCAGCAGTTCCACAGAGTGCAGGCTCAGCATAGGTTAGGACTGTAGCATAGTTGACAGAAGACTCTTTGTTGTGTTATATTAAGGCCAAGGTTCTACTGCTATAAATAATGCATGCTTTAATTGGAAACTGCAAATGGAAATGTCGGTCTCTAAAGACTCGTTGATTTCAGTGTAATCTCTAGGGCCAGATTCTGCTTACGTGCTGAACATGCAGCACATTCCCCAAGTTTGTGGTTGCTTTGTTTCATTAGTACTACCTGTGCTAGTGAGCTTCTTCCTATAAATTAGAACAAATGTCATATCTAGATAATTGTCTGGAAATTCCTATGACCATATATTGTAAAATTGCATAAAACACCATTACAAGACTTGGTACCCAGTGATGTTAAAGAACTTGAGTTTCCATTTCCCTTAGCCAGAATTAATTGGATAATGCACCATACCTATTGAATTTCACTATTAGTATGGGGTGAGTTTAAAAGCAGATAATAAACATATTCATTTCTTGCCAGATTTTCCTGCGTTTAATCACACTGTGCCCGATGTTAGCCACAGGTTAAGGCCTGCATATACAATTGCAGTGGCTAAGCTGATGCTTGGCTAATTCATGACTCTGGAACACTAATCTCATCTCAGAGCATGAACACAGCTTTTTCTACCATTTTAATTAAATTGATTTCAAACCACACCTTAAGGCCTCTTCTAAACATAATATCTTACCGACTTCGCTAAGTGTGTCCGACAGTTAACAAAGTGGTGTCTAAGTGTGTGAATACAAATCTGTGTGAAGGCTAGTAGTTTGCTTTGGGCTAGGTTGAATTTTGCATTCATTTGGATTCTTTCTGTTTGCATGCATTTATCAGTCTTGCTTTAATCTCATTTAACAGCATCAAGATGAATTTTGCAAATTTTTTAGAAGTTTGTAGATATTAAAATAGTAAATGAACCCCTGCCCCCCAGCTTGTGGAACTGTAGAAAAAAGGGAAACAGATTAGCGTGGCCAATATCATTTTATTGCTGTCCACTTTGAGCACCCTAATGCCCTCTTGTTTATGGGCAAGCCTGAGCAACTCATACCTAGAACACATCTAAGATGTAGAATTTAGGAATACAATAGGATTTAAATGTGTAGAACTGTTAACTGATGTGGAATCCTTCCAGAAGTGCCTGAAAGCTGACTTCAGAAAATGCTATAGGAACACCAGACTCCAAGCTTTAAGTGCCTAGAGGGAACCAGTATCCCAGCATGGATATATAGTGAGTTACAGGTGAGCTGGGTGCCTCAGAGTTCAATCCAAAAGATGCTGACATTGAGTAGGGAGTCTTCAAGGTAAGAGGCAAGGCTGAATGTAGGATTGAGTTTTACCCCTGATCTTCAGACTGCAGTACCTTCAGCTGGTCATGATTAACTCATGAACTCTTACCTCCTTGTTAAATGGCTGAAGTTTACTTTGAAAAAGCGCAACCAGGGAAAGTTCTGGCATCCCTGCCTTAATTTATTTGCCAGGGTGAAGCTATTGCGTAGTGGTTCAGAAGACTTTTTTGTACAGTAGGATAGTCTTTCGTATTCTGTGTTTCCCAAGAGAGTGCAGAGGGGTTAAAGCCTTTTGGAAATGAGGTTTATCAAGTGATCCTATGAAGATGCTGTTTATGCATGAGGAGACCAGGCTTCTAATTTCTATTTCAGAGAATATTCGAATATTCTGTATTAAATGGAATGGGGTTTAGGTCACATCATTCCACATAGCATGTCTTAAATGCTATGTTATTGTATAGACGTTCTCTTTCTAATGGCTAATAGTGACTGATTTAGTCTGTTTGCTTAGCAGTGGCTTCAGATATTCTTCTGGCTTTATGGTCAGAGCCCTATCTTTAGGGATGGTGGGGATAACATAAGACAGAAGATTTTTTTCATTTTTCTCTCACTGAGGTTTCAAAGCAAGTCAGGGGCAGAAGCCAGGCAAGGAAATACAGTTCTGCCTCATGCATGAGTCTTTTCAAATATACCTGTCATCTTTAGGACAGTAGTAGAAATAGAGAAGAAAGGTAACTTCTTTCCCTTCTCCCAGAAGATTCTTCTTGAAAACAAATTCAGGATAGCTAATAAAACTAAAAAGGTAGGAAGGAGAAGTCTGACTCAGATAGAAGTGCTCAAATCTGATTTTTGTTGGAGAACCAATAGTTAATGCTATTATATGTAGCTAATTCTACATTCTGCAAAGCAGTGCATTGTATTAAGTACGTTATTCTTTTCTGAATCATAAATATACAGGACTTAGTGCTGCACATGATGTACACTCTTGGATTACATTGCACCTAAATCAGTATTTTTAACTTCACATTCCTGTTTTCAAGGTAATTCTGCATGTAACAGGAAATCTAAAAGGCCAACAGAATTAAATTGGCCATAAACACAGCAGCAACGCTGGCAGAAAATATCTTGAAAACATTTTATGGATTATGTTTTCTCATTTACAGTGTACTTGTTATTTTCAAATAAGCAGCTGCCTGTGGACTCTTAGATGCAGAAAAGATGTGCCAAGAGATGCCATGTGAAGATGAACCAGCAGACCTAGGGTAGGCAAAAGTTCCACACTGTAAACTGATAGTCTGCATTCTTTTGGGTCATTGCCTTGATAACTCCACACCCACTGAGTAATATGGTCATACAACAGTGACAAGCCACTATAGCCCCAGGAGAAGGAAGCTGGTTTTAAGTTCCTAACCAGGCATATGCAGAGGTATGCCCATAAAGCTGTTGCAGGAAGTGCTGACTGCAGCTAGTTGCTGTTAATTTATTCAGGTCTGAGTTGCACTGACTAATGGCTGTTAGCAGGAACAGAGGAATTATCCTCTTTACAGATGGGGCTCAGAGCATTGTCAGTTCAAGTCTTGC